GTCTAACCCTGACATAGACGACCACCAGATCTAGCCCTTTGACTTTCGCGTACGTGGTTTGACTGGTGGATCTTTTCACCTGGTTGTCATAGCTCAGCCCATAGCTACAGCCCTGAACACGGTCCCAGCCCAACCAACCCCAAGATTCCCTCCATGTCGGCCCGACGTGGCCATTTCCCCCCTCCATGACACAGCGGCAGTGATGCCCATGAGGGGGGGGCACGCCCCGGAGCCGCGTGCCGGGTGCATGTGCCTGCCACCACGCTTTCACAAGAGTAGGAGGGCCCACCGCAACACCTGGCGGCATTGCTACCCTCCCAGGTACCCCGTCCTGTCTCCCCTCTCCGTGACACGGCGACAGCGACGCGCGTGAGGGGGGGCAATCAATATATAATCGAGATATGTTTTGTGTACGTAAGGCACATTTAAGTTAATCAAATTAGTTTTGAAAAAAAGGAAAAAAAGAGAGAATAAATAAAATATTAAAAATTTATTAGAAACCTATGCCGACGGAAAAGCCATCGGCATAGCTACGGCCACGGATCGGTAGAGCCCTGGATCAATGACGTGGCGTAGGGCGTGGATCGATGACGTGGCAGGCCATGGGCAAGGCCTATGCCGGCGGCAAGGCCGTCGGCATAGATATGCCACCTCACGGACCGGCGAGTGGCTCGGATCGATGATGTGGCGGAGCACGTGGATCGATGACGTCGGAAAATCTATGCCGACGCCCACCGTTAGGCCCATCGGCGTAGGGTTCATGCCATCAAACGGCCGTCGCCGCCCGGGTAGCCGGGCCCATAGATATGCCAACGACCGCCCCTATGACGACGGCCGCCGTAGGCATATACACTAGTAGATAAAGGGGTTTTTGTCCCGGTTGGTAAGGCCCTTTAGTCCCGGTTTTTGAACCGGGACTAAAGGGTCGTTACTAATGCCTCTCCCCTTTAGTCCCGGTTCTTAAACAAACCGGGACTAAAGGCCGCGGCCACGTGGAGCTCCACCTTTAGTCCCGGTTGGTAACACCAATCGGGACTAAAGGAAATTTTACGATTTTTTTTGATTTTTTTATTTTCAAATTTCTGAATTATTTTAACCTCTAATCTCTAATCACCACCCCTCATCACTGCTCAATTTATCTTCTAATCTCTAATCACCCCTCATCATTCCAAATCATCTAACTTCCCACCGTTAGGCCCATCGGCGTAGGGTTCATGCCATCAAACAACCGTCGCCGCCTGGGTAACCAGGCCCATAGATATGCCAACGACCGCCCCTATGACGACGGCCACCGTAGGCATATACACTAGTAGATAAAGGGGCTTTTGTCCCGGTTGGTAAGGCCCTTTAGTCAAACCGGGACTAAAGGGTCATTACTAATGCCTCTCCCCTTTAGTCCCGGTTCTTAAACGAACCGGGACTAAAGGCCACGGCCACGTGGAGCTCCACCTTTAGTCCCGGTTGATAACACCAACCGGGACTAAAGGAAATTTTACGATTTTTTTTGAATTTTTTTTATTTTCAAAATTTTAAATTATTTTAACCTCTAATCTCTAATCACCACCCCTCATCACTGCTCAATTTATCTTCTAATCTCTGATCACCCCTCATCAATCCAAATCATCTAACTTCCCGAACGGTCACCCATCCTCCCACTCCCCCAGCCTGAGCACGCTTAACTTCCGGGTTATATTCTCCCTCGTTTCCAAGTCTGCACTTGTTGTTTTCCTGACAATAGTAAAATGTCAATCCTATTAACCCTCAGGAATTTTGCTTGAGCATGAAGTGACACATTTCACTGTTTGAGTTTGAAACTATTGTTTTAAAAAACAATAATTATTTAGTAACACTAATATTTCTTGAATAATTAGTTTGACCATTGTTTGACCACAGTTTGACCAGATTTGACCAAAATTCAAAATAAGTGAAATAATTATTTAGTAACACTAATATTCTAGAATAATTAGTTTGACCATTGTTTGACCACAGTTTGAAATTTTTTTGATTTTTTCCACTCTAGATCTTAAAAGCCCCGTAACTTTTTTTCTGTTAGGTTTTTGAGGATTTTAAAAATGTTTAACGGGGTTCCCCCAGTTAAATTCGGATGTAACTTTTCGAGTAGATGATTTTTCATATAAATAACTTTTTCATCCGAGTTAGTATGCAAAAGTTATGCCCATTTTACTAAATTCTAGAGAGATTTTGCAAATAAAGTGGAAATTCACATTTGCAAATTTTCCCAACAACTAGACCACATATCACATGGAAAACTTATTTTTTTTATTTTTTTTGACATTTTCATCATTTTCTTTTATTTTTTTAAAAACTGAAAAGGCGATCGGGGGTGGGGGGGTGGAGTTTGAAAATGGGACCTTTAGTACCGGTTCGTGCCATGAACCGGTACTAATGCCTCAAACCCCATTAGTACCGGTTGGTGGCACGAACTGGGACTAAAGGTCTAACCCTTTAGTCCCGGTTGGTGCCACAAACCGGGACTAATGGGCATCGCACCCTTTAGTCCCGGTTCGTGGCACCAACCGGGACTAAAAGGTCCAAACGAACCGGGACAAATGGCCCACGTGGCCCCTGGGCGCACAAACCGGGACTAATGCCCCCATTAGTCCCAGTTCTAGACTGAACCGGGACTAATGGGCTAACCCGGGGTGGACCAAAGCCCTCTTTTCTACTAGTGATAGTTTGCGATGCTGACGGCCGACCTATGCCGACGGCCCCCATCGGCATAGATGGATATATGCCGACGGCTTATCTACGCCGACGGCCTGACCTGGGCCGTCTGGATACATCCATCTATGCCGACGGGGGCCGTCGACATAGATGAGGCCGTCGGCAATTGGGTGAATTCTGGTAGTGCCGCCTGCGAATGTTCATGTACAGGGGTTGGCTGTTGTGGGCGAGCCGCCACAGGAAATGCAATGGCATATTCCAAGGCATGTGAACTTTGTAGTGGCATGTTTTTAAATCAAAGAATAGTAATGGCATATTTCAAAACTGGAAACTTTGTAGTGACATATGTCAAATTTACCCTTAATACTACCCGTCGTAATGAGTAGTATGATGTACCGTAAAAAAATCTCAAATGGAAACAATTTCTGACGGACTCCGACACAAGACGAAATAAAGGGAAACAAGTTCAATGCAAGACAGAGAAAACCCGCTGATACTGATCGGTCAGGATCAACACTACGGGGTAAAAAACTCTGTCTCAACTAAACTCGCAATTTGAAGTTATTACAGTTCCAACAAAGTGGTGCACAAGGCCAAGAACAAAGACAGTTGAAATCACTCCCGCACCAGGCGTCCATCTCCGCCTCTCGAGCAGGCTTGACCGTGTGCAGCAGCGTCCAGGAGCGTACGTAGCTATTAGGTTCTGTGGCTGCTGCGCCTTCGAGCAATATTCTCCACTGGCGGCGGGACTGGAGGCATACGCCGCACCGGAGGCATAGGCGGCGGGACTGGAGGCCTAGCCCGCACTGGAGGCATAGGCGGCCGGACTGGAGGCCTAGGGTGGCACCGAGGGATGGTCTGCATCATCTCTCCCTTTTGTTTGCGAACTTGCATCATCTTCTGTCCCTGAAGGCCTGCATGCCAAATACGTTTATAGCATGAGTTAGTTTGAAGGATATACGAAAAACCAAGAGCCCTGCAGGATACCGTATCGCTCTCGAGCTTCTTCCTCACCTCGGTCTTCTGGTATTGCTTCAGCTTCCTCACCTTGGAATTCCGGTTGTTCCTTTGCGCTGGAGCTTGCTTCATCTTTGTGCTCAGCGTTCTGGTTTGCCGCAGCACTTTCTCCTTGTTTGCTGGGACGCCGATAAACACCTGGTACGGTACCAAAGCTCGTGAAGCCCATCTTCTCCAGCTCCGCGTCATTGCTTTTTTTCAGTATAAGCTGAGCTAGGTTTGGTCGGTCCTTGCAAACATTGGATGAGACGTGAGGCCACCGCATCGAGCCATCCAGCTGTACCGTCTCAAGGTATTGGAGGCCCTCTCCAGTGAAGACGCATTGAGGGATGACATCACCTTGGAGACTCAAGTCCACAAGGAGACACATCTCCTTAAGAGCACTCTCCAGTGCAGCTCCGTGTCTACCATGCTCGATTCCGAGCAAATGGAGCGACTGGAGTTTGGTCATCTTGCGCAGTGGACAATTCTCTTGATTCCATTCTCCTCCCGGGGGCTTCACACCATGCAGCGTTTGCAGCTCTTCCAGTTCATCCTCCAGGTCCAGGGTTTTTGGAAGCGTGAGCTGCTCTGCGAGCACATGTCGGAGTGTCTTTATCTTCCAGAAGCCTGGGTCAATCTTGTCGACTAGAGTCTCCCTTATGTCCAGAGTCTGCAAGTTGAGCAGCCCCTTAATGCTGCGCGGGAGCTCCTTGAGGTCCTTGCAGCGAACATATAGGTACCGCAAATGAATCATTTTTCCGATGTCATGGGGCAATTCACAGAGCCTCAACCCATTCACATAGATTAGACGGAGGAACTTGGATCCACGCAGAAAGTTGAGATCATAGAAACGATCATTCCTCTGTTCTGGCTCACTCTCCTCCACGCGGCAAATGAAGGAGCGTAGCTTAGGGAGCTTCTTGGTGAACTTGACTTTTTTTCTATCAAAACTGCGGAAAGAGAGGCGGCGAACTGATGGTGACACAAACACATCATTCGTGTCGTGAAGCTCAACAAAGCCGGCCTCGCGAACCTCTGACTGCAGGAACACATGGAGTCTTGGGTGGACCTTGATTATCTTAATGTCACCGTCAACCATCTCCAGGATGTCAACAAGGCATCTCAAGACCAGTTCCTTGAGGTAGCCGTGGCCCAACTCCTCTATGGTCTTGCCCTTTTGCGGTTTGATGAAGCCCTCGCCGATCCACATCCGCACGACCTCGTCGGCATAGAATCCTATGTTCTTGGAGAAAGCAGCAAAGTAGAGGAAGCACGACTTGAGGTCGTTGGCGAGATCTTCAAAGCTCGCCCAGAAGACCCTCTCCATCGCCGTTCTTGTGCTGGACAGATCAACTTGTGTTGGAGGAGGGCTAATATGACAATGCATACAATCTTTGCCGCCTTCTGCTTCCATTCCAGGTCCAGGTCTGCGTACTTGTAGCACAGCTTCCATACCAGGTGCAGGTCTAAGCTGTTGCAGAACAGCTTCCAACTGACCCGGCCTCTCTTTGAATCGAAGGAGTCCGCCAAGAACCACTATTGCCAGAGGATAGCCCCCTGTTATATCGTACACGATCTGGTCGTACTTGCTCTTGTAGCCCTCTTCATCTGACTTTTCTGTCTTGAAGGCCCTTGAACGGAAGAGTTCTCCGCTTCTTTCCTTATTCAAACGGCTCAACTGGTGGATTCCGCTGATGCCCTCCCTGTTCATGGTATCTGCGTGCCATGCCAGTTCTTCATCCTCACCGTCGAACGTCAGTATCACCCCGCTGCCATTCTTGTTATCAGGCAGGCTCTCCTTCAAACAGTTGAGCATGGCTTTGGAGCATATGCCACCAAGAACCAACAAGTACTTCTTATTACCAAGAAGGTGACGGATCTTGTCAGTTAGATTACTGTTGCATTCATATGGCTGGCCACAGTCTGCATTTTCTTCCTCTTCGCGCTGTTCTTCTAGACGCTCCAAGACTTCTTTGAAGAGAAGATTCGGGGTACATCCCTGTGGCACAGTGAGCCGGATTAAAGGCAAGAATTTGTCCATCAGCTTTGAAGAGAGAACTTTTCCAAGTGTTCTCTTTCCAACACCACTTTCCCCAACTATGGGGATGAACGTTAGCGGACGTTCAGCTTCACCAAGCAGCAGTTTCTCAAGATACAGCACATCAGCGTCAAAGCCCACCGAATTCTTATAGTCATCCCGCCTGTTCATCCAATACTTTTATTAATTAACGCCCAATGATAGGACTAATGCATGCTACAAAACACTAGAATTAATTTGGTAAACTAGTAAGGCAAGTCGCTACAGTAGTTTCCTACAATCCACCTGCCGTGCATGAGTGCTCAAATGGTCATTGTTCATGCCACTCACGCACGGCAGGTGGATATTTGTCTATTTCGTACTAAAATCATATCAAAAGTGTAGTATGTGTACTCCAATCTATGTTAACTGTAAACAAACTGACAGTTATTCTCAAAAGTAGCAAAACAAAAACACAGATTGGAGTATATAAACAGTCAGTTTGTTTATATCCAATCGAAGAACCCCCCTCCCCCCCCCCCGCCTCCGCCCCTGCGGGCGACGGGTGAACCCTAGCCCCTCTTCTCGTGGCCCCCTCCCCGTCAGTCTCCCATGTCGCCGTCGCCGCCGCCGTGGACCAACAGGCCTTGCCCGCGCGGTGCTGGCAGCGGCGGGCCGGTCTATGCCCG